ATGCCCAGGCACGCCCCACCTCCCAGGCCTCCCCTGACTCCGCCTCGCCCTGCCCCATCGCAGGAGAATACTGGATTGACCCCAACCAAGGCTGCAACCTGGACGCCATCAAGGTCTTCTGCAACATGGAGACCGGCGAGACCTGCGTGTACCCCACTCAGCCCACCGTGGCCCAGAAGAACTGGTACATCAGCAAGAACCCCAAGGAGAAGAAGCATGTCTGGTTCGGCGAGAGCATGACCGGCGGATTCCAGGTGCGTGAGCGGAACCCCAGAGCCACTCTCACAAGATGGGGGGCGGGGGCGCAGGAGGGGTGTGAGCGAAGGTCTGGGTGCTCTAGGCCTCTGCTGGGTGTGACGGACAGAGCCGGGGGGAGAAGCCGGGGTCCTAGGCCCCTAAGACCCGCTCAGACAGAGGGTGCCCGTGGGAGGTCACGATGCTGTCCGAGGACTCCAGGGGACCAGGGCCAGGACTAGAGGCTCCAGGACGGCCGCTCACTCTCTTTTCGCTCTCTCGGCCTCTTGCAGTTCGAGTATGGCGGCCAGGACTCCGACCCCGCCGACGTGGCCATCCAGCTGACCTTCCTGCGCCTGATGTCCACCGAGGCCTCCCAGAACCTCACCTACCACTGCAAGAACAGCGTGGCCTACCTGGACCAGCAGACAGGCAACCTCAAGAAGTCCCTGCTCCTCCAGGGCTCCAACGAGATCGAGCTCCGGTCCGAGGGCAACAGCCGTTTCACCTACACTGTCACCTACGACGGCTGCACGGTGAGTCCCCGGGGAAGGGCCCCTCTCTGGGCCGTGGCTTTCCAGGCAGGCCCTCGTGCTCCCCGCCCCTCACTCCCACCGGTGACGCCCCTCTCCCATTGTCTCCCCTCCGCCCAGAGTCACACCGGAGCCTGGGGCAAGACAGTGATCGAATACAAAACCACCAAGACCTCCCGCCTGCCCATCATCGATGTGGCCCCCTTGGACATTGGCGCCCCAGACCAGGAATTCGGCATGAACGTTGGCCCTGTCTGCTTCCTGTAAACTCCCTCCACCCCCACCTGGCTCCCTCCCACCCAAACCCATGGCCCCTGACCTCGGAAACAGACAAACAACCCAAACTGAACCCCCCCAAAAAGTCAAAAATGGGAACCAATTTCACATGGACTTTGGAAAATTTTTTTTTCCTTTGCATTCATCTCTCAAACTTAGTTTTTATCTTTGACCAACTGAACATGACCAAAACCAAAACCACATTCAACCTTACCAAAAACCAAAAAAAAAAAAGAATAAATAAATAACTTTTTAAAAAAGGAAGCTTGGTCCACTTGCTTGAAGACCCATGTGGGGATAAGTCCTTTTCTGCCCGTTGGGCGTATGATACCCCAACGCTGCCCTTTCTGCTCCTTTCTCCATGCCTTCTTGGGGCCTCCCCTCCACTGCTCCCCAAAACTAAGTCTCCCCCAAAGACACAGGAAACCATGCATTGTCTGCCCAGCAACCAAAGGCAATGCTAAAACACCCGAGTGGCCCTCCCTCACCCCGCACCCCCAAGCCCTGGGGGAACCTGGGGTTCTCAGACTGCCAAAGAAGCTTCACCATCTGAGGTCCCCGGGGCCTCGCAACATTCCCCTCTTCGTTTTTGAGGAGGGCGTGCCGGGGGGCCACAGGCCCTGCATCGCCTGGTTTGGAGGAGAGTCAGGAGGGGCCACGACAGTGGAAACGTGTCGGTCCCCGTGCGCAGGGCTGATGGGAGAGACTGCTCCGTTCCTTGTGTAACTGTGTTGCTGAAAGACTACCTCTCTATGTGTCACCGGGGCAACGGCGTGGGGGCGGGACGGGGGCAGGATGGAAGGGGCTCCCCGATTTATATCAAAGGTGCTACATCTCTGTGATGGGGTGGGGTGGCGAGGGGACCACTGGTGCTATAGAAGTGGAGACGCCCCACCCCGACCACCAGGCCAGCAAATGTTCCTTTTTGTTCCAAGTCTTCTGAATTCTTTGGTGTTTTTTTTTCTTCTCGTGGATGGAGACGCATGTGAATTTTCTCCAGGTGCTACTTACCACAGGGGAGAGCGTGTGCCACTCACTCCTCGCCCTCTCTCCCCACCCCCTCGCCTGCCCGGGCCTCTCTCTCCAGACCTCTCTTTTCTGAAACCCGCTCCTCAGCTCCTCCCAGCCTCACTCCTCTCTCCTAGTCTGTCCTTCGCCCTCTCTCCTGGGTTTCAGAGCACAAGTTCCCCAAAGCACAAAGCAGTTTTCCCCCTGGGGTGGGAGGAAGCAAGAGACTCTGTACCTATTTTGTATGTGTATAATAATTTGAGATGTTTTTAATTATTTTGATTGCTGGAATAAAGCATGTGGAAATGACCCAAACATACGTGCAGTGGCCTCCTCATTTCCTTCCTTGGAGTCGGGGGTGGGGAGGGAGGTGGCGGGGGCACTCCTTCCTTTTCTTGCCCATTTTGTCCCCCCTCCCCTCATCTAGCACCCTCCTGGGTCCCTCTTCTTCCCTCTTACCGTTCGTATACCTTAACCCATTTTCTTCCCTTTCTCATGCAAGCTTCCTTACAAGTCTCCCCAAAACCCTCTCCCCCCTTATAGTACATGTGCAGCAACACACACATACACACAGACACACACACACACACGACTCCCTCCAGAGCCTCATGCCCACTTTCCCATCAAAGCCATCCATTCTGCTGCCCTCTCCCCTGCTGTGGGCACCGTGCAAGGTTGGGGAACATGGGAAGGCACTGCCCCTGGGGCACTGGGTGATGGAGGTGGGACTGGTGAGGGTACGGAGAAGCCCTCAGCAAGGGCTCTCCCTGGGCAAACACGGAGGGGCATGTGATACCCTCCCGCCCGCCCCCCGGCCTCGCCCTCGCTGAGTTCCTCCGAAGGAGCAGCTGGCAGCACAGCACGTGAAGTGGGTGCCTGCGCCTGGCGGAGGCCTGTGGGGAGACCTGGGGTCCTGCTCACCCTCCGGGGCTCCAGGGGAAGGAGCGGGAGGCTGCCCAGGGGCCTGGGAGACCTGCAGACAAGGCACGTGCAGGTGCCGCCTGGAAGGCGACAGGCCCTAACCATGCTGAGCACGGACTGGGTCCTTCTTGTCCTTCTACGTCCCCAAGACATGAGGCCCCCCGGGGGGGGGGTGTGGCCTGGACAGGTCCTTCTGCCCAGCCCCGGCCCCCTGCCCATTCCTTATCCTTTTAAAATCCTTGCCTCTTCATCCTGCTTCTTCCTCCCCTCCCTTTTCCCTTCCCCCCTGCTGCCCACACCCCTGCCTGCCTGAGACCCTGAGGCCCCCAAGGGGGAAGGGAGACAGCGTGCAGTCAGTGGGAACACACGAGCCAGAGAGTCCCAAGTCCGGAGCAGACCAGGCGCCCAGAGGCCTGGAGACGGTTACAGTTGCCCCCACCTCCCACCCAAGGTCTTAGGCCTAAACTTCCGTGTTCCTCCCACCAGCCTCTGGAAAGATGGAAACGCCTGCGATCCTCATTAAGTAGTCATGGCCATTCATTATGGCCTTGAATAATGCATCGTCAGCACTTCTAACACAATCAGGACAGTGTAGACAGGGAATTAGTCTAGAGGGTAAGAAACTGTGGCATGACAAGGAAGGCTTAGTCATATGCAAATTACCTGGTGACAGTGGTGATGGATTGATCAATCGGTGGCCTGCTGGCACCTGCCTAGGTAACCCCCATCTACCTGGACCTCCGGCCCCTGGGGCCCTGGGCAGTCTCACCCCTTCCCCACCTGCCCTCTGGGGGTCCAGAAGCTTCCTGAGCCTGGCATCCAAGGCTCTACCTGGCCGCTATGCACCTGGGCATTCTCCCTGTGCCCTCCCCTGCCCACACCTGCACACCAGCCAGAGAGGGTGATCGAAATTCCCGCACATGCACCCCACTTACCACGGCCATGCCTTTCTTTATGCGACTTCCTTTATGTCTGCTTTTGCTCACACACACACCCTCTCCCCCCGCCCCCGCCCCCCCGGCCATGCTCAAATGTCTCATGTCCCCTTGTCCTCCTGCCCGCCCCAGCCTAGTTTGCCACCTCTGACTTTTCAGAACTCTCCCTCTCCACAAACTCTTCTTCGCCTCAGTACCAGGCAGTGCTGTCATTGTGCGCTGCCCTGTCTTCACCCTTCCTCCCTCCAGGCCAGGAGCAGCTGACGGAGGCAGGAGGCCGGAGACCGGGCGCTCAGCTGCGGGGCTGGTACAGAGGCTGTGCGTGGATATGGAAAGACTAAAGAGAGAGGAGGAGAGGGACACGGGCCTTCTAGGTGAGAGTGTGGAGCTGTGTGCCTTCCGGAACTCGAGAGAGCAAGTGTGAGAGGAGGAGCAAGCCAGCCAGCCCAGAAGTGGGAGCAGGCAGCCGGGAAGGCACAGGCCAGGGCTCTTGCAGCGCTGGGGGGCACCCCACCTGTGCTGTCCACGCTGCAGCCGTAGCCACGCGTGGCTTTGGAGCACCAGTCATGTGGGTAGTGCAGCTGAGCAACGAAATTTTAAATTGTCATTAGTTTTAGTCATTAATTTTAGCAGCTACCCATGGCCATTAGGCAAGGAGTGAATACGCCTCTCACCACATATATACAAATCCACCCACAGGTGCATGAGTGTGTGTGCCTGTGTGTGTGCGTGTGCACGTGTCCCAGCAAGGGCACCGGAGGGGACACGGGACATCAGGGCTGTGGGGGTGGCGGTGCCCAGCTGTGCAGCTCCGTGTCTGCATCACGTGGTGTGAGGCCAGAATGTGGTTTCAGTGCGTGTGCAGGAGAGGAGGGGGACAAAGGGGCCATTGTACCACATCCCCAACTCCAGCCCTCCTTCCCGCTGACATCACGGCTGCCCTAAATACAGCCGCGCGGACCGGCTCCCCCAGACCCTCCTGCCCCCCGCGTGGTGGCACCGGCCCTGTCCCCAGGGCTGCTCCGAGGGACTCGCCTTTTGCTTCTCTGTGAGATGGGCCATGATCCTGTGGATGACTTCTCAGTCAGATCCAGATGGAAAATTCTAGAAAAGAAGGCAGCTTTGTTTGGATGTTTTATTTTTTCCTGCTCTCAGAATCCCGGGTCCCCTTGGTGAGGTGAGCCCATCTGCCGGCAGGATTTTCTGTGACCGAAATGTGGTGGGTTTCCGCTCCCTTTTCCCCAGCTCCTTAACCCGCAGCCTCCCAGGCCTTCCTGGACGGAGCTGGGTGAGGTTTAGAGTAGGGGAGCTGGGAGGGGTTCCTAGCTGGAGTGTGGGAGCCTCGGGTGGGGGGCATGTGGAGATTGTGGGACGGGAGAGCGTGGGGCTGCTCTCAAAGCTGAGACACCCTCCCCACCCCCACCCCCCAAGGAGGAGGCTGCGAGGCCGCCGTGAGTGTGGGAGGCGGTGGGAGTGAGAGGGGTCCAACCAGCCACACTGTGTGGGTGAGAATGTCTCCCTCTCTGGGTGCCCACCCACCGAGGAGCAAGTGCGTCTGTGTTCACAGGGGCCTTGCCCGTGTGCGGGTGTGTGGGGAATGGGTGAGAGGCCTGTCAATGCGGGGACAGCTCCCCCCGCACACACGGTGGCAGGAGGCCCTGTATGAGCCGAGAAGGCCTGGGTCTAGCATTGGGGACGTGTGTGCGTGGGCATGACAGGGCCTGGGAGGGCCCGCCTGTGTGATGCGGCTGAATGGGGCGGGCGGAGCAGGGAGGAGTGTGGGGGAAATTAGGAGGGGCTGGGCGGGGGGAAGACCATCGTCCTGAAGTCCTGGGGCCAGTGGGTCGCTAGGGCTCGTGAGCGGCTGTGTCTCTGTGTCCCCTTCCTGGTGTGTGCCCCAGGTGGGGAACGAAGGTAGGCTAGGCAATGCCCACGGAGCAGGAGGCAAGACCCTGGGAGAAGGCGCCTCTGTCTCAGAGGGCAATCGGACTGTCACTCACACGGAGATCTCCACGGCTGCGGGGACACCCCTGGCCAGGCCGAGGGAGGTGAGTACGGTGCAGGCGGGTTGGAGAAGGTGGCGTTTTCTCAGCATAAGACAGAGTGAGGAAGAGAAAGATGGGACGGACCGGAGAGCAAAGCACATTCCTTAGAATAAGGCGGCCACGTAATCAAGTTTTCGGTGACTTCATTGCCGTGGGGAGCCCTGCCCGCTCCCTGAGGCTTTGGAAAACTGATGCAGGCACAGAGGCCTGGTGTGAGTGGGCCTGGAGCAGACGAGGGAAGGGGCTGAGTTCTGGGTTTGGGTCAATCTGGAGTGGAGATAAGACAAGCTGTGAAACCCACGCTGCCCGATCAAAATATAACGTGAGCCATGTAAGTCGTTTTAATGTCCCAGTGGCCACAATAAAACTATAAAAGGAAACAGGTGACGTTCATTGCAAGCATAGACTATTGAACCAATATATCCCCCAGTGCTGCCATTTCCATTGCATGTGCCGCCCGTCTCAACTTGGACGGGACACATTTCAAATGCCCGGTGGCCTCGGGGGGCCAGCAGCTGCCCCACCAGACGGCGCAGCGCGGGCAGCAGACCAGGCCCCAGAGTGGCAGGGTTTCAGCCTCCGCCCCCCACTCACGAGGAGAGCTTGAACTCTTCACAGGGTGCAGAACAGAAACTGAGCCCACTTCACCTGGAGCTTAGGGGGCAGGGAGACCCCGCGGACCTCTGGTTTTGGGGTGACTGCGTGAGCACTTGTATGTAATAAGGTCTCCATGCTTGGGAGCCGCCAGATGCCGGGCCCCTCCCAAATTCTCACAAGGGCCCGAGACAGCCGCTATCAATGTCTGTGAGTAAACTAGGTGTTAGACCCTGAACCCCAACAAGCAGGCCAAGGGGGCTCTGGTGAAATGAAGTGTGTGCGTGTTTCGCAAATAAAGCAGAAGTGTGCGGGTGAGGGCTGGGCCCACCGTGGGCGGTGCCCCTATCCCGGTCTAGCGGGGATCCTCCTCGCTGATGAGGCAGTGAGGGAATGTCTAGAGCAGTGGTTCTCAACCTTCCTAATGCCGTGACCAGGCACAGTTCCTCATGTTGTGGTGACCCCCAACCATAATATTATTTTCGTTGCTACTTCATAACTATAATTTTGCTACTGTGATGAATCGTAATGTAAATATCTGATATGCAGGATGTCTTTTCATTGTTTGCGACCCACAGGTTGAGACCGCTGGTCTAGAGTCAGGCCACGTGTGGGGCTCTGTTAGGGTGAAGGTGGAGGCCACTCCCTGGGCCGCGTGGGCAGTGCCAGCTGAGGGATTGCAGGAGCCGAGGGTGGAGCAAGGCGTGAGGTGGAGTTTCCTGGTGGAGATGGTGGAGACACTGTGGCTGTGTGTCCTCGGCTGTGGGGTGGGGTGGGAAGGGGCAGGACTGACCGCCCAGTGGAATCCTACCCC